TTTAGGCTCCATGTTGAAAAATCAAATGCAAGTCAGAGTACTAAAATAAAGAGGGGTGTCAGCAAGGAACTATAGAGAACAAACATGAACTCATGAAGACATGAACTCAAATGCAACTGTTTCATTGTGAAAATTGTGATTTTCAATAATTCCGCCAGTCATTTCCATCAATTTTGATTGTTGTTTCCATCTTTTTGCTTGTTATTTCCATTCATTTTTCAGAGATTATAATGAAGCCTCTGCATGTGAATAGGAAATGTCAGAAAATTTGAGAACCCTAAATGTTTTTTGAAATATTTGAAAACTCTAAATGTTTTTTAAAATATTTGAAAACTTTAAGAGGATTGAAAACCTTAAATGTTTCCTAAACTATTTAAAATTCCTAAATGAGTAAATATATGACAATTAATGTTTCCCAAAGCATTTGAAAACCAGATACGTTTCCTTGACAATTTGAAAACCCTAAATGAGTTAAATATTTGAAGACTCTAAATGTTTCCCAAAAATTAAAAAATTCTTATTAAAATATTCCTAAAATATTTGAAATCACTCCATATTTCCTAAAAGAGTGATGGCTGTATAGCTATACTTGTTTACTTCACAAGACCCCATTTCAGTCTTTATCATTTCATATAGATGTCTCTTCAGCAGAACATTGTTTTTATTTCTGTCCATTTGTTTATTCTGATAACAAGAAGTAATGCATCATTCAAAATATTGCCTCAGTGATTTCTGAAAATTGCTGCTACACCTAAAAACATTTGGTAGAATATAAAGATGGAGTACTAGTCAATGATGAAGCATATTATGTTTGCATTGTAACTACATATCTGGGTATTTCATATTAACTATCTCTCTCTTAATTTTAGATAACTATTTAGTTTTCTGACATTATAAATGTCGACTTAATCTTGGACACGGGGCATTCTCGGACAATCTTCAGTAATTCTTTGTTTTATCTGATTTCTTTATTGAAACTTCCAATTAGACACATTGTTTTGTCGACGTGGTGATACATGTTGTATTGAGCATAACAATGCCCTGAATTTTCACCTGATGCAAAGGGTTTGTCCAGTAATGCCCCGTGGCCAAGAAAGCCCTTATGTCATTTACATGGGTATTTTCTCTCCTCGCTAATTTCTCTCAATTTTGAATGAAGTGTGATTTTTCTCATTTTTTGTACAATTTAGACTATTGACTGACGTCATGCCGATTTACTTAATTCCTTGTTAATTCCTCCCATTTCTCTTTAAATTTTGAATGAACTGTCTGATTTTCTTGCATTTCTATACAATTTAGAGTATTAACTCCATGCCTGTTTACTTTATTCCTTGCTGGTTCCTCTCTTTTCCACTCTACAGCTCATTTTAAAATGTCACCCCTGTGTCTGATAAGTCATATTTTGTTTTCCAGTCTGTAACATTTGACGAGATTGATCTTATAGATGTCTCTGTAGCAGAATGCAGCACGAAGAATGTCAACCACAGTTTTCAGGTAGGGCGGCCATTTAGTTTTCCGCATCCAACATATAAATCCATAGTCTTGTTTTTTATATGAAATACATATACAAGCTACATACATATAACCTTACAAACAAACAAACAAACAAACAAACAAACAATTAAAATATGTTCAAACAATCTAGTATGCACACAAGGATTGCATTATTTGTCATTAGACTTTTATACCTACCCAGACAAAATTACATGCATCAAATGACCTAGCTTATGATCATCTATAAACATACAGAAAATATGACATACAAACAGCCCAAAAATAAACAAGCAATATGACAAAAAATAAATAGGATAACAATTACAAACAAGCATGGTAACCTTTACAAACAACCTTGAAGTAAGATTACAATCAAAAAAGAAAGGTGACAAACAAGCAGGTGTAAGGTAAAATTTGAGCAAGTAATATTACAAAAAGCAGGTAAGGGTAACAATCAAACAAGGATGATTACAAACAAGGAAGTAGGGTAACATTTGAGCCAGTAAGATTACAAACAAGCAAGTAAGGGTAACAATCAACCAAGGATGATTACAAACAAGGAAGTAGGGTAACATTTGAGCCAGTAAGATTACAAACAAGCAAGTCGGGTAACATTTGATTAAGTAAGATTACAAACAAGGATGTTTGAATCTGTTCTGTACAGTCTGCAAGCTGGGATTCAAAGAATTTTTTGCCCTTCAGGATGTTGATTGCCCTCATGTAACAGGACTCTCTTTAAACTAGTAACATCTTCATCATAAGTACTAAATAAGTTAAACGAAAATAACACATATCGATTTCTTTATTTCAAGAAGCCCACTGTATCAAGCGGTTTTGAAAATCAAAGATAACTGTATAAACGTTTCTATCAACACTAACTGTAAGCTTCCACAATTCCACGAAAAAAAATCTTGCTAGATCTCTGATTTTCTAACATTGAAATATTTAGATGTTTGTCTGCTTATGTTTATTTCTTATCCCATATAATGAAGTGGGGGATACAGAAAATGCCTCTGTCCTTTGAAGTTGTTTCCTGATGGTATCAAACGCTTATTATAATGATGATATAAAAATATCATGTTTACCCTTTGCATTCGTTCGACTTCACTTCTTAAAAGAGAGCTTCGTCTTCACTCTCAGTTTACAATAAATCTCTGATCTCACCGAGCCAATCAGAGTTCATCGTCGATATACAGATGACGTTCTATATGGTCATTTCCTAATAGTATAGTTAATGAGCATGTATTTAGCACATGTTCCTTCCACTTCGCTGGGTTGAGAAAGGGTCAGTGTGGTAGATTTAAAATGATTTATTACCTGGGCTGTCACAGGCACCAATCTTAGGGACTGGACTGCTAAACTGTAATATAGTCTATACTAGGCAGAGGGTAGTTATAACTAGACTATTATGTTATGAGAGGTTTTGGATATGTGGTATATTTGGAGGAAAGTATAGATATCTGAGGGGGATTCAAAGAACACCCCCCCCCCTGTTGCCTCCGAAGGTTGGAGTTGTTTCCTGATCTCATCATATAAAAAAATTGTCATTGGAGGTTTTGGATATATAGTATATTCTGATAAAAATATAGATATCTTACTGATCAAGTTTTCTAACAACACTAACTTGACCTTCCACAATTCCATGAAAAGATAAGCCCTTCTTGCTAAATCTCTGATTTTCAACATTTCTGTAAATATTTAAGATATCTCTCTGCATATGTTTATTAATTGCACTCCAGAGTTTGAAGAAAGTGTAAGCAAGGGTATAGCCAGTATAACTCCGGTGAAGCATTTTTTCGAACCTCTGAATGAACTTGTATCATATTATTCTGCCCCCATTTGACATTGTCAGAGACTTAGGAAGGTCATCTTGAAATTATCAACAGTTGTGAAAAAGTTCATTTCATTGTGGTTTGCCCCCACTTGTTGTCTTCTGGTACAGTGACATCTGTATATCCGAACACTTCTCTAATCCGAACACTTCTTTTATCTGAACACCTCACAATATAAAAATTTTCGCAGTCCCATTTTTTTAGATTTCATTGATTACATGTTTATAAAAACTTAAAATGGGAACACCTGTCAATCTGAACACTTTGGCTGGTTCCAGAGGTGTTTGGATTAGACAGGTTTAACTGGATTAGGTAGGTTTAACTGGATTAGACAGGTTTAACTGGTACGCGCATAATGTTATTTCACATGTCCCACTGACTCACTCTCTGAAAAACAGATGTAATATTTAACATATCCTGGCAACATTATTTTTGTAAACATACACAAAACTTGTCCACATTTCTTGGAAGATATTGTTCTAAAACTGGGCAGTTTTGCTTTTGATTTACCCTTGGAGTAAGTCCTACGTGTCTGTTTGAGGTAATCATGCACTAACAAATGATGACCTTATGTGAAAGCATAAAGGCGATAAGGCGATGATTTGACAAGTTTTCAGCTTGAGACCCCATACATTTTATGATATTACATATTTGAAAAATATGTTCAGCAATAACCCAGATGCGAGTAGAAATAATCTTACTTTACGTCATTAAAAATTCAAAATTCAGTCAAAGTAATATCATATTTGAAATCTACATGTAAAATTACATCTAGAAATATGGTTTTAAAAAGAGTTTATCAACTTTGAAAAATTAATTTTCTTTGAAAATGTGACTTCTAGCTCGGGGAGATTCCCCATAGATCCCATGCTATAAAATCACAAAAAATGAAATATCTTTTCTTTTAGTGGACAGATAATATTTTGCTTTACTGGACATATTTTCATTAGTATAAGTATCAGACGCATAAGGGTTATATGAAAATTGAGCCACTTAAATTGATAATATTCAAGTTTAAGGGAACTTTCTTATATACCTGCCATGTTAATTGACCTGAATCAGCCACCTGGTGGTGAAACTGGTAACTACCTACTCGCATTTGGGTAATTGTCATTTTGCATTGTAAGTTCCTAAAGTAAACTTACATGAACCCTTTTTCTGGTGTAGTATTTTGTTAAACATTGATAAAGTTTTAGTGAATCCAATATTATTTACATTTATAATCACTTGTAATGTTACCTTATAAGACAAATCTGGGTGCCAGGAGATAATGATATGAATTAGACAAACACTGTTTGATTTGGTAAATGTTATATTTTTGAAATATTATAGTTTACCAGGGGTTTCAAGAGCATTATTGAGCCCCCTCCCAATATTTTCTAGAAACAATGACACTCCGAGTAAAGGATTACATGTGACTGATCAGTCAAATATTTTTTAAAGCAACAAACAAATTAGTTTTGCTTGCATTGTGATTGAAGCCAGACTATTGAATTATATTGATGGACTTAAAAGTAAAACAATCCAAATAAAGAAAATGAAAATAGAGATTCTAACCCTAAATAAATTGAAAATGATTAAGTATTTCATGAAAAAGAAAAAAGAAATGTAAGTTCTATTTTACCTTGAATGTGGACAATCTGAGCTGTAACTTTGGTATAAAAGAAAGCTCAATCACAAGCTAAATACCATGTATCAATTTAAAGTTGATTGATCAACAAAATTATTTGGTAGAGCTTAAACCAAATCTGCAAAATTTTCTACAATGGCACGCAACATTGGAGCACTGGCAATAATAGGCAGCCTTCTTATAATCACCATAGCAGCAAGTATGACAAAAATGGAAGAAAAACCTGTCGTGAGTAATGAAGAAGCGAAGAAAAACCTTGAAATGATTGAGTATTATGCTAATAAAACAGAGCTGACACCATACGAAAGTTACATTATAAAAACAGGCATTAAAAGAATGAAACGTGCCGTTGCTCCAGTTGAGGGTGAAAAACTTGAAATAGTTGGAGGGAGAAATGAGTAAGTCTATTTATAATTTTTAATTTTATTTGTTGAGTTTATTCATTTATCATCCGCTGCAAACATTTCATCAAATTTTCCAATTGCCCTATGTGCAGAATTAGGCAGAATCAACAATTGGAAAGTAACATTTTCAGAGTCTAAAATTTCCGAATATTTTCAGCTCGTGTCATTCATAGTCTGACCTCTAAAAGTCTGTAGTAATCAAACTACATTGTTTAACTGTTTATTGTTTGTATGCCTGTCAAAACTGCCTATTGTCTGAACTTATTATGATAATATCTGTTTTAAGAGGGTCTATAACTGTAATTTACCCCATTTGTACCAGGTCCTACTTTTGCACTGTTTTTGAGATTTTTTAACATTATCACCAAGTGTACCCGCAGAATGGTGTCATTTTTCCATTGTGAATCTCATTATTTTCATCTATTTCAGCCATTGGTGTTGTAAGGAGGATCCCGTGGTTGGAAAGAACTACAGCACTCGCAGTGTGGGAGAACTGGTGATGGTCACCAGATCACGTAGAAGATTCACTAGATGTGGTTTCGGTGGCTGGGAAAGATGTTCCGTAGATGTGACTTATTTGAGGTAAGAACTATTATGAGAAATATGGAATTTGAATGTTAAATGATGGAAAGAGGCTTTCAAAAGATACTCTTTGGACGTAAAATTTGTTGAGGATGCTTGACGTTTGTTTACTTTTGTCCGGTTGTACCCATAATTTCTCCTTTTAACATTGTTTTCTTATACGGAAAATTATATTTTGAAAATACAAGTAAAATACTACTCTTAGTAACAGGGTGTCCACAAAAAAGTATACTTCAAAGCCAGGATACTAGAATTCTGAGCATTTTTAAAAAAAAATAAGGGAGCAGTAAAAGGCCTAGTTTGTCTTTCATCCAATACTGAATCTAAACAAGTAGATTCATGTTGGACAGTATTTCTAGAATCCATTTCAATAGAAAGAATAGGGGTCCTATACACAGTACATGCAACTTGCTTTTTAGAAGTTTTTGTTGTCTCTACTGCTCAGGTCTCAGTTGAACCAATTTGCAGGCCCATTTTGGAATAGGTATACTTTTTTTTTGTGGACACTTTGTATTATGCCTTTACCTATTTGGACCTATCCTTACAAAATAACTTATTACTTTTCAGTCAGGAGATGAAGTATAAGTCAGTACTGGACACATTAGAGATCCCCCAGGCCGAATGGGTTCATGGATGTCCCGAAGAAAAACTCTTCTGCTGTAGAGGATTCATTCTAAATGCTGATGTAAAGAACTGCATGAGTGAGTATTTATTGTGCCTCCATTCTATATTGATTTTATTGCATTTTAAGGTTTTGAGCAGAGGTTTTGGTCCTTAAAATTGAGTAGTGGTCCTTGGGACCAGTAAAAATTCATGTAAAGTGGTCCTAAAGAAATGTTAGTCACCAAGTAGGACCACTTCATTTCAATTTTTACTGGTCCCATGAAAAAAAAATCAAGAAATTATTTGTGCCACAAATTGAAGCAGCCTCTTTGCATGATTAAATTGAATTTCTTCTTGAGTGAATAAGCTAGGAATTACTAGAATTAATTAGTAAAATCACATCTACCTCTCTCTGGATCAAAAATGGAGGTCTGCGTCCAGTATCTCGATTTGTACCAGACAAAAGTACTGGACGCGTTTCTACTCCCTGACAGTGTTAATTGACAACACATTTCTTTCCAGCCCAGGCAGAGGTGGATTCCCTGATTACAATGCTTTCAAGACATGGTGGAGAAGCCTTGTGTCTCATGCGCATGTTTGGTGTCTTAGACAGAGAATGTCCACTGCAGAAATAGCAAGAGACTGAAAAAAACATTGTACTATACTTTTCACGCTTTATTGTGCAATATCCAGAATCAAGAATTTCCATTACAGAAATACAATGGACTGCAATATATTTTGTATTGTATTATGTATGTTTTACCCTGTTAAACGGAAAATGTCCATCATAGAAATAGCAATAGACTGCAATAAATATTGAATTATATTATTTATGTTTTAGTGTGTAATATGCAAAACAGAAAATGGCCATTATAGGCACTGGTGGTAGGCTCGCCAATTTGTGGGTCATGTGATCCAGTTAAATCGAAAAAATTGTTCAATCTGATGAATAATGGAGGTCAAATTGAATTGTGACGAATTATGCTCATCTGGATAAATCAAGAGCTAGAAGGCAAAAAATGTATATCTCATGTCTAAGTATGCGAAAGTGTTCATAACTTTGGGTTAAATATCGCAGAAAAATGAAAGTGGTCTATTATGACATTTTTACCATTGAAAATCACTTTTTGGCTATATGTTCAAATAGTTTACCAATAAAATCTAGAAGATTTTTCCAAAATATCTTCCAACTCTCAAAATGGTCATAACACATTATGGACATTTTCTAAAGAATACTTGAATAAGCTGTAAATTGAATAGTGAGAGATAAGCTCAACTGTTGTTTAGCATTGACCTTACTTTCAAACCCCTGTTTACTTGTTACTGACATTTTGTCATAAGTGCTCTAAGAGTCTAGGGACTGTGTGTAAACAAAGTTTGAAAATCCCAAGGATAGAATATCTAAGCAGAAGTGTCAAAGGGAAAGTACCAAAAATAGAGATTCACTCTTGTTCAGGACCTGCTGAAATATGATATGTGCTTTAAGCCAAGTTTCAATAGCAGGGAGAGATAAAAATCTGGATTTTGTTAAGTGATGCAGGTAATAATTGAACTTTTGTATGAAGTTTAATGCTTTGAGGTTTGAGTTCTCCTTAAGGTTGTTACTGAAAAAGTACAACTTTATATTTTTTGAGTTAACCCCTTGGTATATTGACCTTCCTAAATTCTATAAAAAGGATCAGAAGCATGTCTCAGATTTCAAACAAACAAGTTTTTACTTCCTCTTTTCAAGAAATACCTACACTAAGTTGTTTTTCAGTTTTTATTCAGAGTAGATGTGTTTCAAATTCTGATTTGGGGAGGAAACCTTTTAATTGATACCATGCTGTCAAGGTAAATTACAGATGTGTTCAAGATAAATTAACAATTCTTGCAAGTAAAATTATCAATGCCTTCAAAGTAAATTACCAATTACCAGTTGCAAGTAAAACTATTAAATGCTCGCAATTAAAATTACCAATACGTTCAAGATAAATTAACAATTCTTGCAAGTAAAATTATCAATGCCTTCAAAGTAAATTACCAATTACCAGTTGCAAGTAAAACTATTAAATGCTCGCAATTAAAATTACCAATACGTTCAAGACGAATTAGTAATGCTTGCAATTAAAATTAACAATGCTTGCAAGTAAAACATCAATGCTTGCATTGAAATTACCTCTGCTAGCAATTAAATTTGCCAATGCTTACAAGGTAAATTACCAGTGCTTTCGAGTATAATTACCAATGCTTTCAACTACAGCTTTGTAGGTAAAATACTAATGCTTATAAACGGTTTGCATGGTAATATACCACAGTTTGCAAGATAAAATATAAGTGCTTGCAAGGTAAAACACCACAATTTGCAAGGTAAAATGTGCAACTTGCAAGGTAAAACACTTGAATTTTGCATGATAAAATGAATGCTTGCAGAGTAATATACCACTGCTTGCAAGGTACATTCAATTTAGTACAATGCTTGGATAGTAAATACCATTTTATATCACTATTTAGAATTAAAAACGTTTTTTTGTCATAGTTTTTTTGTGACAGGCATTTGTTGTCTGCATTTGACAGTCAACGTTCTGAAACAATTCTATAACAATTGTTGTCAGTTTTATTTTTCAACTTTTGACATCTGTGAGAAATAATAAGTCTGCAGATTTCAGAAATTTGAGTTTTGAAGTTTTTGTCAAGTATTAGTTGACATTCACAGGCACTTGTTTTTAAATTTGAATCCCATATGCCTTACCCTGAAGATGGAATCACTAATTCAATCACAAGCACTTTAACTGTGATTTTACTATTTATCCCACGAACAAAGTTCGGAGGGATATAGGGAACGCCTCCGTCCGTCCGTCCGTCCGTCCGTCTGTACGTACGTCTGTACGTACGTCCGTCCGTCCGTCCGTCCGTCCGTCTGTCTGTCCGTCCGTCCGTCCGTCCGGGCAATAACTCAAATACCGTTGGCCCGATTTTGTTCATATTTTGTACACATATACCCTATGGGGGTAGAAGTTCTGCTCGAAAGCCGATTTTCAAAATGGCCGCTCATTTAAAAATGGCGGCCATTTTAGTGCCGATTTTACTGTAATTTAGGTGCAATATGTAAAACTGTAATAGCAATATGTTTTAAATGTAGATATTAAAGAAATGTAGATATTAAAGAAGCACATGGCAGCCATCTTGAAAAATGGTGGCCTTTACTCGTTATTTTACGATTTTTGCTGTAACTCAAGAAGTAGTGGAGCGATTTTGTTCATATTTGGTATGTGAATACTATAAGCATGGCTCACTGTCTATGACACTTTTGGTAGGAGGCAGCCATTTTGAAAATGGCCACCATTTTGAAAAATGGCCGCCATTTTAACATATTTTACTATAACTCAAAAAGTAGTGGAGCGATTTTGTTCATATTTGGTTTGTGAATACAATTAGCATGGCACACTGTCTAATAACACTTTTGGTAGAAGGCGGCCATTTTGAAAAATGGCTGCCATTTTAACGTATTTTACTTTAACTCGAAAAGTAGGGGAGCGATTTTGTTCATATTTGGTATGTGAATAAAATAAGCATGGCACACTGTCTAATGACACTTTTGGTAGAAGGTGGCCATTTTGAAAAATGGCTGCCATTTTAACGTATTTTACTATAACTTGAAAAGTGGTGGAGCGATTTTGTTCATATTTGGTATGTGAATACTATAAGCATGGTACACTGTCTTATGACACTTTTGGTAGATGGTGACCATTTTGAAAAATGGCCGCCATTTAAACGTATTTTACTCGGCCTTTACTTGTTATTTTACAACTTTTGCTGTAACTTGAAAAGTAGTGGAGCGATTTTGTTCATATTTGGTATGTGAATACTATAAGCATGGCACACTGTCTAATGACACTTTTGGTAGAAGGCGGCCATTCTGAAAAATGGCCACCATTTTAAAGTATTTTACTATAACTCGAAAAGTAGTGGAGCGATTTTGTTCATATTTGGTTGTGAATGCTAGAAAAAAAAGCATATTACTTCTGATGACAACTTGGCTAGTGAGCAACCATTTTTAAAATGGTGGTCTTTCTTATGTATGTTATTTTATGATATTTGCTATATATTATGTATGTAAAAATGCCAGCCATTTTTGTTCGATGGGATTCGCTACGCTTTGGCGTTGCCGTTGTTCTGGTTTGATATTAATAAAATCTTAGTTTTGAATCTCAGCTAATTACCAATAGTGATTTGTCTTTGACCTATGACTGCTGACCTATACTGGCGATTACTAGAGTGCTGCTAACTCGATAAAAGGCTGGCGCTGGCTAGAATTGTCTATGGTTCTAGCCAGGATAAAGATACCAGTTCTTCAACTCGACAATGGGAAGAACTGCTCTACCTAAGTGACTAATATGTCATGATATGACATCTAAAAGAGTCGATAAAAGATATATATATATATGTAGTGTCATTGTTTTCTATCCACGGTCTTATAGTCTGAATTTTTAAGGCTGGATATAAGAGTTGTATTTCAATGAGAGTGAAGAAGAATAGCTTTTGCAAAGGGTATTGTGGATGTGGTATCATTTTTCTAAGAAAAAAGACAAAACATATTATGAGTTTGGTATAAAAGGAACACAGGCATACATCTTTTACCATTCACACCTTGCCATCAACCAAGAATCATCAGCGCACAATCTGCAATCACGAAAAATGGCATGCAAAATTGCAGCATTATCAATATTTGGATGCTTTGTCGTAGTCACCATGGCAGCTGAAATGCGACAAGCAACGGAAAAGGAAAATTTTGTAACTGATGAAGAAGCGAAGAAAAACCTTGAAATGATTGAATATTATGTCAACAAAACAAAGATGACACCATATGATAATTTCATCATTTCGTCTGGTTTAAACAGAATAAAACGTAATGCAGTCCCAGGAAGCAATGAGTAAGTTCTCTTAATATCATTTTACACTGTCGATCCTCTCGATTACGCTGGAACCATTAGGTAGGTACAATTTTTCCTTATTTCACACGTTGTAGGCATTTTTATCACAAACGTGTATCAGTATCATATGTTTAAGATTAAGAAAATGTACACATTTCTGAACAAATAGGTCAGAAGACGGAGGAATCGTTGATTCAATTCCTCACTTAAGTTACATTAACGGTATTTCGAAAAATAGTTTCGGTAACCAGCGTAATCGAGTGGATCACCAGTGTTTTAAGTCCACCCACCAACTTATTCCATATGTCTCAGTCAAAGTAGAATACATATATTCTCATAATAAAAATTGCCATTGAAATTTAATTCAGATCTGGAAATGTGTTCTTTGACATCCATGCGTTACCAATAAGTTTTTTCAAATCCTCTTTTGGATTTAATTTTAGACCCTTCTTTACAATCTTCAAATGATTGCTATAATTTATTTTGGTAACACTTCAACACTTATAATGATTTGTTATACATATAACAATTTCAATACTCTGTCTTAACATGGCTTTTAAAGTTTCATCAATAGTCTTTGAATTCACTTCCATGCATATTTGATATTTCACAATTATTGAAAGTATATTAAAAATGATTTTTAGGTATTTTACCATGTAAAACTGGATCTTGTTTTATGATTTTAAAATGTAATAGCCCATTTCTTCTATGATATAACTCTTTGCCTCAGGCACTGGTGTTGCCAAGAAGACCCTGTGTTTGGTAAGGAGTACAATACTCGAACAGAGGGAGTGTATAAACCAGTCACAAAGATCCGTAGAAGTCAAACTAAATGTGGCTTTGGTGGATGGAAAAGATGTGTAGTAGACAGGACCTATACGACGTAAGAACTATTCAAGATTTTGATTTTCAATTAATATTCCTTTTGTAATATGATATTTTTCTGCCATTTGCAACATGTGATCGCAATTTACATATAATATTTCCAATCAATTTAATATCTAATATTTTATTATCCCATCTAATGGAGTTTTTGGGTGGTATAGAGAAACAACCCTGTCTGTCCATATGTTCCATAGGAAATAACTCAATTTTTTATTATGTTTTATACTTATACTCGTATTCTATATGAGCAAAAGTTTTTTCTTGAAAGCTTACTATGAAACTTATGAATTGTGATATTAATGTTTTAATGCAAAAATAATTCATGGTGTTAAGTCCACTCCACAATCTTAGTATTAAGTTGAAAATGGCAGCCGTTTAACATTTATTGGCCCAATCCCAAAAAGAAGAAGATCAGTTTCATTGATATTTTATATGCAAATATAGTTGGAATCATGACAGATTGTACTGTGTCAATTTGGATAATGTGGTACTCATTTATATTTCTCAGCCTGATTTACTGTTTTGTTCAAATTTGTTTTAACCTTAAATCATTGTTTAGGATGTTGTGTCTTTTTCTAGTGTCTGGTTGTCTGGTTTTATTTTGTAATTTTTCTTACTTGAACTTTTAAATTATTTGCTTTCGTTTTTTTCAGTTTGGAGGTGACCTACAAAAGTGTTATTGACACAAGAGAATTTCGTCAAAGTGAATGGACCCAAGGATGCCCCAGCCTTAAAGTCACTTGCTGTCGGGGTTTCATTTTGAATAAACCTGTTAATCAATGCATGAGTAAGTTCTATTCCATTTTTCATTTTTATATTCATTTGAGTTATGCCACCTCTACAATGCAGTAAAAGAATTTACCCACCAGTGCCAAACCGGCACAGTTCTGATTTTGAAAGTTAATAACTTTTATAGATAAAGAAAGAACAATGAAATAGCATACATCCTAGAAGGAAACTAGCTCCATTGATTTCGCAGGACTATATCTGACACAAGATACAATTTTTGTTCTAATTTTTTAAAGTTTATATTGGTAAGCTTGCCTCTTCTATTTTTCTTTGAATTTTTAGGAACTAAATCTGGCGATTGTGCTGACATATTGTGTTTCTCTTTTCAGCTATTGATGAAATCGAGGCTCTAGGACGAGTGCTAAAACAAAATGGAGGAGAAGCTCTGTGTCTCATGCAGATATTAGGTGGAGGAACATGTCAAATGAATAAAAAATAACTTCCAGATGTAAACTTCTCATTTATGCAATGCTGACTTCTTCTCTCTGCAGATGTTAAAACCTCTCCACCTAGTTGTTTTGTGGCTTGTTACATTTACTGTTGTCATTGCTATGTAATTAACCTTTAGCGTGCTGCCGGCGGACTCGTCCACCGAGACTAAAATGTCTCTCACAACTGCCGGCGGACCCGTACGCCCGATTTCAAACTTTTAAAAACTTTACTTTTTCGCGCCATTCGTATTGTCCAATTAGATTGCCCGATTTATTCAGTGCCTAACATGACTTCCTGTTGACCTAGAAATGGCGATATTTCGAAAAATAATTCTCAATTCAACAATTTAAACAGTGTTTTAGTCGTTTTTAGTGAACGAATCGTACAAAATGGTGGACAAATACGATCACAACGAAAATGTGGAGGAAATAGATTACGATTTCGAGCTCTTTAGGCTCTTGGAAGCCGATAACGGTCATCGAAAATAGAAACTAGAATATTTTCTGAATTGAAAAATTGAACATTCGATCGCTGCAAATTCAGATTTGGATTCTGACCAGACGAAGAGGCGGAGCGGCGGATTCCGGAGGAGTATTCATGGTATATTTATGCCCAGTTGTGTTAATGTACGAAAAAATTCATGAGAACATTTTTTTCATGAGCCAGGCCATTGTATCTTCCCTTTGTGAAAATTTTATCCAGATTCATTCAGTAGTTATTGAGATATTAATTATTTAGTCCAGGTATATCATTTTTTGCACTCTTTGAAAAATAAGCCAGTTGCGTGGGATATATTTGCTGAAATAAGGCAGCATGGTAAAGGTTAATAATGAGTGGAACAAAGCAATTTTGAAATGGTATAAACATATATATTCGGTCTCTATTTTCATTGATCATGTTGCTCTTCAATAAAAGAGATTTAATCATATGTCTGCAGAGAGGAATATAGACCACTGAATGAAACTGCTAGGAGAATGCAAACATAGGCGCACAAAAAGCAACACTGGTGCATTACAGTGCTCCCCCAGGAGGAGGATTGGAGGATTTTGATTTTTTTAGTGCAACAATTTAGCATTTTGTAAATTTTTGTGCAGCATTTTATGATTTTGTAATTTTTTGTGCAACATTTTACGATGTGCAACATATTAGAATTCCTTTATTTTTTATTGTAACATTTCAGAGGCGCATCTAATTGTTGTAATACTAGCTAAGCAAAGGCTATATTTTATGTCCAGTTTGGTAATGAAAACTACAATATACTGCATGTCAATTGTGGTAATATAAATTTAAAATAAATGCTTTGTCGTTTGAGTTATGATACAGTAAAACCTGTGTATATTGAACTTTTTTCAGAGAAAAAGAATTTAGTGTTGGTAGGTGCTCACTACAGAGATAATATAGAAGTCAATTGAGTTTGTTTAGAGGAGAGGTGTCCACTAGAGACAGGTGTTCACTTAGACAGGTTTTACTGTATACATTATACGTCATGTTGTCAGTTGATTGTGGTTTACAAACAAAAAGTTCATTATGTTAAACATTTCGTTTGTATGTTCAAATTACTGTTAGTCATATAGATGGCAGTTCACTATGCAGTTCAATAAATTCTCAAAACCAGTCTTTTGATGTTTACAATAAAACACTGAATTCTTCACCATCTATTGACAATGCCATATATATGACTGTGCATTTAACTTCTTGAATATATCAAACACTATAGGTATCTTAATATGGCTGTTCACTAGGCAGTTCAATAAGTTCTCCAATCCAGTCTTTTGATGTTTACAATAAAACACTGAGTTTTTCGCCATCTATTGAGAATCCTTAATGCCATATACATGAGTGTGCATTTAACTTCTTGAATATATCAAACAATACATCTTAATATGGCTGTTCACTAAGCAGTTCACCAAGCAGTTATCTAAATTCTCCACTTTCCAAAAATCATGTTTTAAAAATGTATTTAATTGGTCGCTAATGACTTATATCATCAAAATGAACATCAAGTAGTGTGTATTTGGATATTAAAGGTACAAAACCTCGGGATTTTTATTATATAATGTAAAATGGATCAATATGTGTAGATAGACCTAATGAAGGTAAATATAGCCTTGAAATACCATAGACTAATCAAGATCAGACTATATTAGCAGCGTGACTAAATGTATTTACTTTGGAAAATGAGGGAATATACCTTATCAATAAACCCTGATCAATTTGATGATTCAAAGAAACCAGGGAATTGAGGCTATATTTATGATGTTATACTTGTACATATTCAGGCAGCAGTGTTTGTAAACAAAGTTGTTTTTGGAAAGTAGCTAGAAGTTATAACCCTATCTCTGCCATTAAACTGTAAGGACATCATAGCAAGTATGTTGCATGATTTACTTGATTGAAGTACGCTCTTATCACATCCTCTGACCACTGGTTTCAAAGATCTCCAAGTATATGTAGCCCTGTGTTTAACCAATTAACTTTGTTATTAACATTGGCAAGCAAGCACAATCTATTCCACCTTCTTTTCTTCAATAGTTTGATTACTCCAACAACTTAAGTTTGATAGGGATATGTTGATGTCATTTGTTAAACAATATATACTACACAAAAAAAAGCTGAGGAGCAGTCCTTTTCCTCAAAGATTTAAATGTTAAACCCCATGTATATTTTCTAAGCCCGAACCGAGGGAAAATGATAATGTAAATGAATAAAATGAATAGGTACCTTGACAAAGGTCACAAAGGTGACACTGGACTTTCAGAGTTGGTGTTTGCAAATTGTTTTTCATCAATATGTACCTTGACAAAGGTCAAAAAGGTGACAATCAGCCTTCAATCACAGTTCTTCAAAATCCAGAAAAATTCTTTCTTTTTTACCCCCTGCGATAAGCAGTTAGCATTTCCCTGATTAAGAACTCGCAATCTAATTGGCTGTCGCAATACTGTGACAGAAATAATGAATAAGTCATTGCGCATAATTAGAACACACAATTCAGTTTAATTGGGTGCTTCCAAATTGGTTATAGCAGGGGGAAGAAGGAGGTACGGATTCTGGATACCTGCTTAGGAGGATGGTGACAATGGACTTTCAGAGATGGTGTTTGCAAATTGTTTTTCATCATATTCAGAGGCAATGTCCCTGCTTTAGCACTTTAATTCCACAAGTTCCAAAACATGACTACTCTGACATTTTTAAGCTGAGATTAGATTGATACAGAATTTTCTCATTAAAAAATCAATCTCAATCTAAAAGAACAGGAGTATTGCCTGTGCAAAAAAATATTCTATAAATGGGACAATTTACAAAAATTACCGTTAAAACCAAAACTTTTATAGGAAATAACACAAACTGACATTTGTTTTATATTTTGCAGTGTGGCCATTTTATAGAATGCAAGAATTTTTCATATGTTTAAAAATATAAAAGGTTTGATATGAATTTTTTCCATGGATCATACCTCTTCAATTTCTATGATAGGAGGTAGAATTATTCAATTTATTTCATGAGATTGTTCCTGGGAGAGTTCCAATCACCTTTCTTTCAATGAATGTCACTGTACAGTAAGTGAAGAAATCAAACATCACTTTTTATATTTATATCAGGGGTGTCCCCAGGATTTTTTCAAGGGGCTGCGTCCACATTTGAAAACAGACTTTATCATCATAGCTTGCACTTAAAGCCAAGCTTCTCCGTCTTTTTTGCTAGAGAATGTTGTTCTCCTTTTCTCCAAATACACTTTTCCTCACTACCATGAATAAAACCTCCATGTATTTGGCTTAAAAAGGGGATTGGATCACACCCAATTTTCTCTTCAGTTGGGTGAAGAGGAATAAATAAAATCTAAAATTCTGGGGACGCCAAAGTAAAGTATTTATGTTCTCAAAAATGTAATTGAGTATGAGTTGTTTCCTCATGTTATCAGGAGCTTAATACAGTGGCATAAAACAATGGTGAGGTTTTAGATATGTGGTATATTCTGATGGAAATATAGATATCTTACCAGGACACGGAGATCTTACTGAACGCCACCTCTTTGAGATGTTATAGAACGTTTTACATGATAATATAATCCCCAATTATTGTAGTATTTTATAACAAATCTTAATTTATTTAATTCATTGAAAAGCTTGTGTCATATCCACCCCCCCTTCAAATTGGTGTTCACAGTCAGGGCTCAGGTCCAGGGCTCTCACCAGGAAATATTTAGGGTGTGGCGCTAACATCTTCAGAATCACTGTTCAGTCGTAATACATCATATTTATGTTATGTTTTATCCTTTTTACATGCTATTATTGTATATTCAGTCAAGTTCAGACTGTGGACACAGTCATGATTTGCCAATAGGGTGCGGAGGGAGCTAAATAGAATGTGGTGCTGCGCCACAGTCTAAAGGCCTGGCGAGAGCCCTGGTCTTTATATTCTGCAAGATTTAATGGCTGACAACTATCTGAAATTGCCTTATTCTAAAAATCTCACATGGTAAATGAGGTTATCTCTTGTTTTGATTCAACCCCCAATTCAAAAGTTTCGATGTTGTATTTTTCTTTTCAAAATTGAGAGAAATTGGATGAATTTTGTAAGATTTAGATTCACAAAATATTTAGATGATTGCCTATATTGTATGAAAATGTATGAAAATCTATTAGTTCATTCAAATTTTTAAGAGGTATTGTTTGAATTTGTTCTTGAGCAGACGGATATTTTGCAGAATAATGAGGCTGCCTCATATGTTTACTGGTCACCTAGCTCTGTTCTCACTTGATAAGATCTGTTTTGAAATGGGAAAGCCATCCGGTTGGTTATTATCCCATCGAACGAAGTTCGGAGGGATATAGGGAACGCCTCCGTCCGTCCGTCCGTCCGTCCGGGCAATAACTCAAATACCGTTGGCCCGATTTTGTTCATATTTTGTACACATATACCCTATGGGGGTAGAAGTTCTGCTCGAAAGCCGATTTTCAAAATGGCCGCTCATTTCAAAATGGTGGCCATTTTAGTGCCGATTTTACAGTAATTTAGGTGCAATATGTAAAACTGTAATAGCAATATGTTTTAAATGTAAAAAAATTATAAAGGACATTAATAAAGCTACAATGTAGATATTAAAAAAGCACATGGCAGCCATCTTGAAAAATGGCGGCCTTTACTCGTTATTTTACGATTTTTGCTGTAACTCGAAAAGTAGTGGAGCGATTTTGTTCATATTTGGTACGTGAATACTATAAACATTGCACACTGTCTATAAGAAACTTTTGGTAGAAGGCGGCCATTTTGAAAAATGGCCGCCATTTTAACGTATTTTACTATAACTCGAAAAGTAGTGGAGCGATTTTTTCATATTTGGTATGTGAATACTATAAGCATGGCACACTGTCCTATGACACTTTTGGTAGAAGGCGGCCATTTTGAAAAAAATTTTGAAAAATGACCGCCATTTTAACGTATTTTACTATAACTCGAAAAGTAGTGGAGCGATTTTGTTCATATTTGATATGTGAATACTCTAAGCATGGCACATTGTCTAATAAAACTTTGGGGAGTAGTCGGCCATCTTCAAAAATGGCCACCATTTTTATGTGTTGTGTGTTATTTTACAAGTACATGTGTGCGATTTTTCAAAAATTTTATAGGCGGCTACTTAAAAGCATATTATTTCTTCTGATGACAACTTGGCTACCATGTTTAAACGTAAACCATGATACCATGGTATACCATGGTTTACCATGGTCTATCATGATCGGCAATGAAATTACCATCAACTCTGACCATGGTGGCAATGATGTTTTTTTGGTCAATTTTTGACCATGGTATACCATGGTATATCATGTTATACCATGTTTCATGGTATTTCATGTCCAAAGTTTGCCATCAAATACCATGGTATTTCATTGCCATGTTCCTGACCATCATTTACCATGGTATTACCATGGTATATGATGGTTGATTGCATTTCATGGCATTTCATTGTAAGATGTGACAATCAAATACCATGGTATTTCAATGCCATGTTCCTGACCATAATTTACCATGGTATATCATGGTTGATGGCATTTCATTATAAGATGTGACAATCAAATACCATGGTCATACCATGGTATTTCATTGCCATGTTCCTGACCATCATTTACCATGGTATTACCATTGTATATCATGGTTGATGGTATTTCATTGTACAATTTGACAATCAAATGTCATGGTCATACCATGATATTTTATTGTTATGTACCTGACCATCATTTACCATGGTATTACCATTGTATATCATGGTTGATGACATTTCATGGCATTTCATTGTACCGTGTGACAATCAATTACCATGGTCATACTATGTCATTTCATTGCCA